TATTTGCCCATTTACGAACGGGGATAAACCCGGCTGGTCCATTACCATGAACTCTCCATATATATATATATATATATATATATATATATCGGGAAAGTGGGTATCAGTCCTACCTCCCAAAAAAAAGTTGGAGTCCCAAACCAAACGGCCTCGTTTTCCTCTAAAAAACACAGCCCTGCTATTCGTCTTTTCTCTCAAAAATCCAGCCTCTGCTCCTCAATCATCTCTCAAAAATCCAGCCCCTGCTCCTCAATCATCTCTCAAAAATCCAGCCCCTGCTCCTCAATTATCTCTATCTCCTTCTTTGCCCCTTCTGCAATCATCTCCATCGCCTCCTCACCTCTTCACTCAAAAAGCTCACCAGTAATGTCACCCCCTCTGCAATCATCTCCATCTTCCCCTCCAAAGTGTTGGCAGTACAATGGGGATGTTAAGAGGAAAAAACAAATTCAAAATTCAACATGAAACTGAACGAAATCGAGAGCCAAGACGAGCAACACAACATCAGAAACAATCAAAACCATCATTAATTAGCCCACGCAAGAAAAACAAATTTAGTTCAAATCCCATTTGCAGTAATCTTTTCACAACACTAAAATTCAAATCGAAATTCTTGTTCTCGATAATGAAACAAACTTGAATTTCGCATTAAACGCACAAGCATATTTCAATCCATAATCAAATGCGGCCAAGAAAACAACATAATAATAATAATAATAAAACTCATAAATTCAATTTGTGAACAGAACTCGAGAAAGGGAAAAGACGAGGAGCAGAACTCAAGCATCTTTGAAGACAACAAACCCAGATCTGGGTTTTCTCTAGTATAACTAAAATTGCAATTTCCATTCTCATCATTCAATTTCAACACTATTATAACCAAAATCACAGCAACCAAACTTGCAAAATCCAAATAAATTGGTTCGCAACTCCCTCAAGCTCATGTGACAAAGGAACACAAATCTCGATTTCTTTTGTTCTATGGCACTTCGAGCTCGTGAGGAGGCATGGTTATGTCTCTTGGCTTCTAATCGCCTCAACCTCACATGAGGGAAAAGGGGGAAAGGGAGAGATAGAGATGATTGTAGAGGGGCCGACATTACTGGTGAGATTTTTGAGTGAAGAGGTGAGGAGGCGATGGAGATGATTGCAGAAGGGGCAAAGAAGGAGATGGAAATGACTGAGGAGCAAAGGCTGGATTTTTGAGAGATGATCGAGGAGCGGGCGCTGGATTTTTGAGAGAAAGGACGAACAGCGGGGTTGTGTTTTTTAGAGGAAAACGATGCCGTTTGGTTTGGGACTCCAACTTTTTTTTGGGAGGTAGGATTGATACCCACTTTCCCGTATATATATATATATATATATATATATATTTTATGATGGGACAATTACTATGAACTCTGAACTTCTCAATTAATTTTCTCATCTTGATTCTTCCATGCATTTTTGTTAGACCCGTAAGAGGATTTTTACAACAAATTCAAGTACCAAGAAATGATTCTCCATTTATTTTTAACAATATCTGCTGATGAGAACCAAAGGTATGGTTACAAACTGATATTTTTTTTTTTTTGTTAATTCATTTTCCATTTGGATGTGCCTTTTCAGTGGTTATTTTTTATGTTGAAGGCACCATAATTGTGACTCTATAAATATGTATATTGTTTTCGAGATCATATGAGTATTTAAATTTTTTATTTGATTAATTTTATAAGTACCTATAAATTGTGTTATCCATAAATACTAAATAAAATTACATTTTCAATAACAAAAATACTTAACTTTTTTCAATAATAGTGACATGTGATTGATTAAAATTATTTATATCTAAATGACAATAGAGAAACTCGAATATGTATTCTCAGTTTACATCAATCTTCATTATATTTGAGTAAATCCTTATGAGTTTTGTGTTTTTTACAATTTTAAGAAAGTGGAGTCAAACTCATTATTAGGTTGGAAAAACAGTGTATTTTCAATCAGTTGGGTTAGGAAGTGAGGTTATTTTTTAATTAGGATAATTATACATACACCCAAACAATCCACATCCATCTCAACACCCAAGGTTTATGAACAGTAAAATTATAAATTTACCCCTCCTTATTTTTGCCTTGGGTGTTGAGATGAGTGTTGATTGTTTAAGTGTATGTATAATTGTCCTTTTAATTATGATGTAGTAAAGAGAAAGACATACTAAATTTGATATCAAATACAGTTTTTTATATTCCTTCCGTCTTAGAACATATAAAACATATAAGTAATTTAACAATTGACAATCACTTCGTCTAACAAAACACGAACATATATTGGTGGTAGTTTTTTACTTATGTAATTAACTCTATTAAAGGTTGCTATTATATTTATCCCCCGAACATGGAATTTTAATAGTATTGAAAATGAGTTTTGATATTCTCTTCATCTGTGTTAATATATCTCTTGTTCGAGACAACGACTAAGACAAAAGGGTTTGGTGCGAATCTTTTGAAAACGACTAAACACAGTATCATATACTTCTTATTTAGGATAACGGCATCCTTGTCTAGGTACCAAATGAAGCAATATACCAACAGGTAAAGCAAAACAAAAGAAAGGGCGTTAAGAGGCGTCCTAATATGCCAATGTTGCCATTATACTTATCCCTGGACTCCACCCATACTAGATAACTGGCTCACTAGAAATGGGTCACTTGACCTTTTCCCTCGACATTTCAAGGAGAATAATTAGAGGATTAGCTAAAAGGGGAGGGAAGGGGGGACTGTAGCTTAAAGGAAAAAAAAATAAGAATCTTTTTCAAAGCTAACAAATAGAGTATATGAGACAATGTCAAGATTAAATCAATTAACAAGACAGTATTGTTCTTTATTTTAAATAAGGGGTTCAAAATCTTGTACCTACCTTAAGAAAATGTAATTTATTAAATACATCAATTCCATATAAAAGTTTGCCCTTAAAATTACACATGAAGAGCATAAAATTAACCCAGGATTTGACTATCTAGACAAACAAATAGAGTATATATATATATATATGAGATAAAGAATAATATGTGTACAGTTGTTGGTTTGACCAGTAAAAGTCAATGACATTAACCGCAACCTTCAATGATATAATACATAAAGAGTTTCTAGTAAGCTTAGATTCCTTAACTAGAAGTGCTAATTGAATACGTATTTTTTATCTAATTTACGGTAAGTTTTTTGGTATATCTGGAAGGGCTACATGCCTACATTAGGAGATGGGACATTTTAAAGTAAATCTAGTTGGCTAAACTTTAGTTTTTTTTTCTTTTTTCTAAATAAAATTATTTTTTAAAAACAGGCCTACCACAACTCACTCTCAATTAATTCCTCCAAACTTTTAAAGAAATTTCAGGGAAAATCGACAATTTTTGAGCCAAATCCTAGAAAAAAGGTGAAAGCAATGGGAGGAGAAGATGGATGTGACTCATTTTGAACCTGGCATTGCATCTATGCTCTTAAAGAGAAGAGCATCTGGTTCTTATCTTCATGGTTATATATATTTCATTTCTGAGGATATGATGCTTAAAGGGATCATAAATTATTGCTCTGAGAGTAAAAAAAAAAATGAAGAAGAAAGATAGAAAAGCTTGTCTTTTGAAGTGAACTATTCAGAGAGATTCCTTGAATCTGATTTGCTCAGTTTTAGCTCTCACAGTTTTGAATTTGTTTATTTTCCATAGGTTGAATCCAAAGCCCTAGTGGTAGTGATCCATATGTTTTTGGCTTTAATAATTCCTTGGACCATCTTATAAAAGTAGTATTGAAGCTTTGGAGATGGTAGAATGGTAAGGAGTAATGCAAAATATAGTGGGGAACACATGATTCGAAGTCACTCCATTGCCACTTCGGTAAAACATCAAATTTTAGCAAGCCATGCCTGTTATCCTCAGCGGAGAAGTTTTTGTCGACATTTATGGACACAATAATTTTATAGGTGTTCAAAACATCTGTCGGGTTAAAAATCTTGATATTCATGTTGACAAGGAAAAAAAAAAAAAACAATTTTCCCTCGTATGTTTATACAGTAGGAAAATAAAATATAATCCGCTTTGCACAAATTATACTTTATTTAATCATTGATGGAGGAGGCCGCCCCTTGATGTTAGAAGGCCACCCCTCCATCAATAGTTTAAAGTAGTGCAATCTACATAGAACACGCAGCCGGCAACATTCTCTTTATGCAAAGAAACAAAAGAAGCAAAATGGCATGATATTAATTTCCATTGATGTAAAAGAGACGAGGAGATTCAAAGCTTCATGAGGGAACAATGAGAGTAATAAACTCTTCTTAAAGTAAAGTTATGTGGGATATACTTCTATAAGAGGTCCTCTGACCATGATGAAACCTAGCTAAAGGTTTATTTAAATCCAAAGGGATCAGTGGAGTAAGATTAGTGAAATTGCCCCAACAATTTTCTTCATTTGATGAAATCTTTTTCCTTAAGCACCTTAAAATTCAAGAGAATGAAAAGAATTTATTAGGAAAGGATCATACTAATGAAGAACAACAGTTTTCTTTGTCAAGAAAAGATAATGGTGCAACAATGAAAACAAAAATTACTTACCAAAATCCTTTGGAAGCTTGCATTTGAAGCACTCTGTCCTGCTGGCATAGTTGTGCACTCCACATCCATATCTATCCAACAAAATGCAAAAATTAGTTGTTTTGTTTTATTCATATAGAATTTATAAGGCAATGCAGTCCAAATTTCCTTGAGAGGAACACAATTTTATTAATAATTAATTAAAAAGGATAAGAGGAGATTCAGATAAGTTCCAAATTCTAACAAATCGACTCTAGATGATATAGATGGTTGGCTATATAAAATTAATGTATAAAAAAATAAAATTCATGGTTGGAAAAAATAAGAGATTAATTGATATTCAAAATCAAATAATCAAACTTAAACAATGCATAGAACTTAACAATAATTTCAATGCAGAATGACTGTAAACTCACCTGGTGCAAATCCAGTCACCAGTTTTCCATCCAGGAGGGTAGCTGCCGTCTCCATAAGTTTCAGACCCCATCATGTACCCACCATAGTCATTCTTCATTGCTCCACATCTATAGCAATTGGTCCTGCTAGCAAAATTGTGAGCACCACAGTTAATGGCAGAGCAGTACCAGTCTCCTGCCAACACCTCTGTCCTGTTGTACAAGTAAGTTGACACATCAGGGCCTCCAAATTTTGGGTATCCACATCGCTGACATGCTTCCCTCTTCTTGAAATTCTGGTGCTGGCATGCAGCACACATCCAGTCTCCTCCTGTCCAGCTCATTCTTATATCCTAATATTTCACAAATTAGGAAATGAGAAGAATGAAAACCATAATAAAAAGATACACCAATTTGAAGAAGCTGATATATTAATTACCTTAATTAAAGGAATAAAAGTACTTTTAGTGGAAGCTGTGTTGCTATAAGGAAGAAATTGTGAATGCAATTTGGTGATCTTGTCATTTGGTTTAGGAGGGTTTATATACTTGTTAAGGCTTGGAAAGCGTGGGGACAAAGGGGCTGCTGTTCTATCATTTCTGCCTTTCCCATAATAGTTTTCCTTAAGATTTGATTCCAAAAGCAGACATTTTTTCCCCTAAGTATAGATAAACCTGCTCTGGAGTTTCTGCTACTCTCTTCTTCTGTTTCTTGAGAAGAGAGTAACTTGCCTGGGGAGGTGGTGCATGTACACACAATGTTTCTTTTTTTTTTTTTCCCCTAAACAATATTCTAGTCATTCCCTCTCTTTACATGATTCCCTTCTGCATTAATGCAGAAAAAACACTTTGAGATGTGATATTCTCTTCTCTCGAGATCTCCGTATATTGCCCATCTAGGTGGTATGAGGGGTAGATGTTATTTGCATGGTGGCTGCGACATATGTTCCCTTACCCACACCATCTTTTTTAACAACTATTTCATTCAAAAGTTTAAAATGAAATGAAGACCTCACAAGCCGACCAATGAACTCGGGCGTGAGGTCCTCATCTGGCAATGACTATGAAGAATAAAATATTCTATTATTTTTGAAAATTCAACTTTCGAATGAAATGCGTTAAGGAAAATATGATCAATGTTGAAATACCAGATAACTAAGGCAAAAAGTTACGAAGCCTTCAATTACTGAGAAATGGTAAGATTATTATTTTTTTTAACAAATTAAAATTATTTATATACATTAATTAAAAGAATGAGAAAGAGATTTTGTCAAATTTGAATATATTACCCACAAAATATAAACGATCCTTAGTCAAAGTTCATGCTACTGAGATATAGCGGGTTGTTCGACAAATAATAAGAACTTTTAAAATCTCCTTGTCAACAAATGATATATGTAGCTAGGTCCTTCCATGCTTGAAATTGGCTAATCTGCACGTATCTATGGAAGTCAATGCTTACATGGGTTTGTCAAGGTTGCAATCGTCACGCCTCTAAATTTCACATTACCAAGTAATTGTTCCTGCGAGTCACATATTAACTATTTGAGACTAAGTTTTTAAGTTTTACGTGGTTATTTGACCAAAAAGGGCTTTTTGAGGGTAGGTTTATGATTATGGTTGAGAATTTTTTTGTATAATTATATAATATTTTTAGATATATATGTATTTAGTAAATTTTTTATTAAATTATT